CATTTAAACAACAAAAAACAAACATTAAAATAAAAAAGCACAGTATCATTAAATGAACGGGAGCAGAGAGAAGAAAAAATCTTATATCTGCCCCCAGTTAAAGCAATATCCATAAAAATAACAAAATACTGTAAACATCAACAAAGAAATAAAAAAACAACTATTTCATCCAATCAGCTGAGAGAAATATTTCAGACAGTTAATTCAAACAATTAATTGATAAGGCATTAATTCATTATATTTTGATGAAATCTGATTTTTGCACACAATTAAAACACTATATTTGTATATTTGTCCACTTTTGGACTGAATCCTGGTTTCAGTGTGGCGGGTCACCAAGTCCTGACTGCTGACTCAGCACATTCAGACAGATGTGGGACTGATGTTCATGGTTGAAGCTGTAAAAATGAACACAGAAACCATGACTTCTACAAACATGAGAATGACAGCAGTGTGATGTTTGGCCTTCAGTCTGGGACGTATGAACCACGTGGACACCCRGACACCACTGAGCTTCACTGACAACAGGAAGGAAAGGGTTTTTATTGGGTMTGAATGAACCACAGCTGAGGATGGGGGGACATGTTGGATCAGAGTGGTCACTAGAGGTCAGACTCTGCTCTGCAGCCATGTTGGAGCTGTGCAGCATCCTGACAGGACTAACAGGATTTCAAGGCTCGCAGCTCGGCCATGAGAGCAATTAATTGTTTTTTYATTTATTTGAACCTTTTATTTCTCAGGGTAAAACTTGCAGCTCAYGGCAGGTTGAGGTTTCTGCTCCTTCCTGATCAACTTCCTTTTATCTGAGCTGAAAATAGTACTTTTCTTTAAGACAAGAAAACATGATTACATCACAAATCAGACAAACCCAACATTTATAGAGCTGAATCTACTGAAGCTTAATGATTTCACTGAGTAAATTATCTTAAAGTTCATGTACAAAGCACATAAAATATGTTACCTAATAACAGGAAAATAGGAAAAAGGAAAATAAATATAATTTAAAAGGTGTTGAGACTGATGAAAAACAGATTCAGAGCTGTGTTAAAGTCAAGCTGTGTCTCAGTTAAAGCTGTTAGTTTGTGGTACAGTGTTGATAATGAGATAAAACTGTAAAAATATTTTTAAATTATTATGATGAAGCATTGTAATACTGTCTAAAGTAATGTTTTGTTGTAATTTTGTTATTTTCTCTGTATGCTGACGGTGAACCTTTGTGTTGATTTTATTTTGTGAGTAGGGGCAGATATTATAAGTTTATACTTCTTTCTGCTCCTTTTCATTCATGACTTTATCAGTGTGCATTGCCAATGCACACTATTGTGATTCGTTTCCCATCCAAGTCATCTCCACTTTGCCATGCTTCTCCTCCTGCATACTTTGTCCTAGAGCTGCCATTGTAATTTAAAT